ATCTGAAATACTGCAACTATATTCCACGTGAAAAAACAAAGATTTCAAGACCACGCTGAATTTTTTTTCAAGGATTCAAACTGATTTTATAGACTAGTTGAGCTAATTTTTCAACGCTATTTTCAAATTTCATACGCGTTCACTAGTAACACGAAAGTAACTCTACGAAAGTTAAGTTCCAAATTCACTTTTCTCTAAAATAAAGCGTAAAATCTTAATTATCAACTTGTAATCGTGCTTATATTTATATAATACACATGCATATATTTCTAAATATCACATTCGGCAGTTTGAATCTTATGAAAATCGCGAGCTGAAAATAGCGGGAAAGTGTTGAGCGATTTCAAAGGGATGCAGACGATGCACCGTTTTGGCGCGTTACGACTCGCCTCGTTAGTCATCTCGCGAACTTGTACCACGACTAGTCTCAGCTCGCCGTTTTGCAGTGCACTAAGTGAAAGTTTCATAGTTGGTGTGTGAGATAGCCTGCTGGAAACTTCAACAAACAATAATTGTTAATTAACAGCGTCGATACAAACTTAACATGCCGAGAGTGCGGTGTGCCTATCAGATGTGTACGTGCACGCCGGATAATCGGCCGGACTTAACCTATCATTGTTTTCCCATCAATAATCCCGAATTGTGAGTAGTAAAATACTTGATTCGTTTTTCTTCGCATTGAATTATATAACTATTTTACCATTTACAAGGCTCTTAAACAATGTTTCATTGTTACGTTCCCAGTAAGACGGTACGTAAATTAAGTAAAATTAGAATCGTAATTCTTTCGTAAACGTATGAGTAATTGAAAGCGAAAATTGCGTGGATAGAAAAGTAGCAAATGTGTGTATTTGTTTTTTGAGCATGTCCCAGTATAGGGGAAGAGTGGGCATCCCTTTTGAACGAGTAGATGTATTTATTTTTTCATACAAATATTTGCATGGGTTTTTTATTTTTGAAATGTAGATTGGATGTATGGCAAAGAATCACAGGAACAATTGGCATAGAAATAGCTAAGTTGAAGAATATGAGAGTTTGCAGATTACACTTTGACAAGGATAAAGATTTCAATTTTTATGGCGTTGGAAACCGCGTTTGAAGCCCACAAGTAAGCCGAAAGAGTTTTCTACTTGCAATCATGTAACTAATCAAATAGCTGCTGATAATTCAAATCAAAGTAGTGTAGCTATAAATAATGCTTGCAGTTCTATTGATTTGTCTCTTTCTTCAATTAATCTTCCTAGTCAAAACTTCTTCATTGCAGATCTTACTAACAAACTTTCAGCTGTAAATAACCCTTGTAATGCTTCTGATGTTTCGTGTTCAATTAATCTTCCAGATCAAAACTCTTCGACGACAAATCAAACTATAAATGAACGCATTAACATTAAAAAACAAAATATGCACACACAATGTTTACAACAAACAAAATCCAGTAAAAAACAAAAATTTAGTCCTGCTGCTGTAAGATCGTTAAATAAATTTAAAAAAAATTTGCAAATTGTAGCGCAGTAAATTACAAAAAGCTCACGCTATTCAGTCAAAAACTTATTATACAAAATGTTCGTTTGGAGTCGAAAAATAAAGTACTATTACAAAAAATTCGTAGAGATACTCAATTAAAGCCATGTCTGACTAAAGCAGAAATTCTCGGAAGCGCACAACAACATTTAAATAAAGATGGGGCGATTTTTTTGAAAATGCAATTTAACCATCTAAATCAAAAGCGTAAATGGGACGATGATGAGAAATATTTTTCTTTAGGAATATGGTACAAATCTCCGAAAGCTTACAAACATTTAAAGTTTGATCTAAAACTCGCGCTCCCTTGTTTATCATTGGTAAAAGAATGGGTCAATGAATTACATTTACCGCCAGGTATTAATCTTAATTTAATGAATTTGCTTAGAGTGAACGCTGAATTGATGGATAAATTTAAACGAGAATGCGTTTTAATGTGGGATGAAATGGCAATTAGACCAGGTGTACAGTATAATAGGGAAGGGGATTTTATCAGTGGGCTCACTGATTTAGGGCAACACGGTAGAACTAAAGAACTAGCTAATACTGTCTTAATCGCTATGTTGACCGGAATTAATTCTAACTGGAAACAAGCTATCTATTACGGTTTCTCATCTGGTCCTGTACCTGGTGACAAACTGTACCATATAATTTCTGATATCGTCGATGCAGTCGAAAAAACGGGATTGAAAATTCGAATGATGGTTTGTGACCAAGGAAAGACCAATATAAAAGCAATAAATTTACTCAAAATAACTAAAGAAAATCCATTCATAGTCAGGCATAATCGTAAAATTTTTTTCAATTTCGACTGGTGTCATTTAGCTAAATGTTGGAGAAACAATTTGTTAACCCATGATTTCTTAATACATAATAATGATATAGTGACGTGGCGCGTAATACAACAGCTTCGCGAATTAGAGAAATCTAAGGAAGCAAAAGCATGTCCTAAATTAACAGATAGGCATATTAGTCCCAATAATTTTCAAAAAATGAATGTTAAATTAGCAGCGTAAACTTTTAGTGCGTCTGTCGGAGCAGCATTAAATACTGGGGCTATGACAGGTGAATTACCCGATAAAGACACTTTAACTACAGCTAATTTTGTTGTTAACATGAACGCACTTTTCGATTGTCTAAATGCTCGGAACCATTATGACCGTAATCCATTAAAGCGTGGTTTATCAGAAAAAAACACTGTAGTTGTCGAAAAATTAAAATTTTCTCTCGAGTGGATTAAAAAAACAAAAATGATAAACCTTAAAACCAATAACATTCAAAGATCACCGGATTGTTTCAATAATACTCAATTAACTATAAATAGCGTGCTAATGCTTTGGGAAGAATTCAAAAAAGAAAATCGGCAATATTTTTTGACAGGAAAAGTAAATCAAGATCCTCTTGAAAACTGTAATGCAATGATGAGGGCATTGTCGGGCTGTAATCTGAATCCAACTGCTTTTCAATTATGTAAAAATTTTCAACACGCGGTAGTTATTTCTTTACTTTACACTTCTCCTGGTGCTAATTGCGAACAAGACGAACGCGTCAATCTATTAACCGATTTTAAAGCTATTATTAAAGAAAGCAAAGATAGTGCTATTTTAAGCGAGCAACAAATATTAGATCAAACCAATGACAGTTTAGACGCGTGGATGTTTAGCGAATTTTACGATGATAGTAATAGTTTTGAAATGGAATCAGATGAAGAAGCTAAAGAAGTATCTTTTGCTGAAGTGACTTTAGAAAACTGTGCCAAGAAATATGTAGCAGGATATTTACTTTATAAATGTTTACATAAATACAAAAATTGTAAAAATTGCATACGAACGCTTTCTCGTGACAATAGTAATTTTTGTAATGAAAGTGATCTTTTAATCTTTTGGAAAGCTTATAATGTTCCACAGAATGAATTAGGTAACCATAAAGTTTCATCTGAACAGTTTTATAAATTAATTTTAGAATGCTATGTTTTGTTTGTTGATGAATTCAATTTAAAATTTGAACAATTGAACATTCGTTTGTATATTAGTGCATTTATTAAAAAAGCTCTCGCTTTTAATGAAAAATTCAAAGAATTCTGGCACAGTGAAGAATGCGCGGAACATAAAGATTTTATAATAGATTCATTTGTCACTCTGCATATAGACTATTTTCTGAAGTGGTATTCAAAAGATTATTGTGATTCAACAATTAGAAAGCGTTCAGACATGGCTGATGACGGTAAACCGGTTCCAAAAATAATGAAATTTGACGATAAAATGCAAAAGCTCAACGAAGAAAATGATTGGGAATAACAAACACTGTGACTAACTAATAACAACTCTACTAACATTGAGTACTTTAACACCCTTTGAATCCATCCTCTATTCCATCACTTCCCGATGGAAGATTACCTGCCACCTTCTCGCTGGTTTCCATCGAGTAATACTAATAATATTTTATTTAACTATCATATAATCATTTCATACTGTAATGTTAACGGATGTCAGAATGTCAGGTTTTATTAAAACAAATGCATTTTAAGAGTTAACACTAATCACGCATGCATCTCTTTAACTTACCTTGTCATAAGTTATCATTCATTGTGAAAAGTATATATGTGATATGTTGGGAACGATAATAAAATTTTTTTAAATATTTTACAAAATATTTTTGAACTAGCTTACCTTCAATTTTTGTTGCCCAAATTATTTATATAATTTTGTAATTACTTATTGTCATTAATCTTTATAAAGAGAAAAACGTAAAGAGTGATGTTGTTACTTAAATAAGTATTATTAGTATTAGCTAAGAGCAGCATCAATAAATATATGTTAAATTGTATATTTCTAAAACGCTATTATAATGTCTATTTTCTGCTTTAATAATAAAAATGCTTATGATGTTGTATTTTCATATCTATATAGTAAAATTTTAATGAAAAAAAAAAATAGTTTCGGCAGGACTCGACCCCGCGATCTTGAGCTTGCGAAGCCAAAACCTTAACGCATCGGCTATCGCCTCTGCATCATGAGTATATCATTGCCGGTTATATTTAAGCTGCTTACCCCTTGGGGGCTTGAGATGTAGCTTAGGTTTGAGCGCTTGTGATAATTACTTAGACATTAATAATCGGCTTTCGGCGCAACTCTTAATTGAAGGTGATAAACAATACGATATTAATTGCTTGTGGATAATGATGGCATTTGCCGACTCGGCAGGGAGCGTCGGTATTACCCTCTCGCTCGACGATTGTCGATCAGCGCCGCCTGCCTCCACGGGGAAGAACTAAGCCGAGCTCAAAAAGCGGCTTCATGCCGCCCATAGGGATTGGCCTTCTATTAAGAGCGCAGCGACCGTCGTTCTATATTCTCTGCTTACACCGTGATACTCGATAAGCTTGAAAAAAATTTGTGTTATAGGCTAGTTTAGGGAGCATACTAATGAGGGCGTTGTACTTCAGAATCTCGTACGTTTTCGTTTATAGTGTCAAATTGTCAATGAAATCCTAAAAAAAATTCCAAACCAAAGTTTACTCAGCACATTTAATCCAACTATATTACTTCATGTGCTTATAAAATTAAAAAAAAAAAAACAAAAATTGGTATTGCTTTAAAAATCCTGTTGAATGATCAGGGGTGAAAAAAATTATTTGAACAAAACCCTATTAATGAGACCAAAATTCTGTTATTTTTATTTATTTTAATAACAGAAAACTGCAGATCCATATGAACCAGATCATGGTAGAAAATTTTTATTGAATAGTATCTCCTTTTACAAAATTTTACATCGTACAAGTATATTAAAATGTTATCAAAACAGTTGTTACATAATTATTCGAACATAACATATAGAAATTTTAAGTGATTATATCACCTTACAAAATCTTTTTCGCCTCGATTTTTACAATGTAAAAATATTATTTGGATAGCCTTATAGGCATGTGACTGGCTATATGTACTATTTCCAACTACTGCTATTCGCAAACATTGTAAACAAACACATTTACTCATAAGAATACTAAATTTACAAAAGTATTACATTTCGTATTCTAAAAATTACTCTATATTATTCTCACTTTCCATGTTTACTCAAAGTATGTATTGAACTTTTATATTTAGATAGGAACTTTGCATAAAACTATTATATTACTGGTCAGTCATTAAATAAAACAGTTCTGTTATTACATTAATTTAAAATAAGCAATGCTTCAAATGCTATACATACGTCTATATGCTATTTTTCAAATAAATATATATTATCTATATATACTTATGAATAATGTATCAGAACATATTACATAAACATATTAAATAGTGTATGCATGTTTACTTATGACGTTAGACATAAAATTTACTTTCAACATTTTTACCAAGTAATATCACTTTTCATTTAGTTCGAAGTTTAAAGTAAAAAAGTATATAAATACCCTTATTTCAAACAATACTGCTCTCGTACATTAGACTTTTACTTTACCTTATCACCTCATTATACCATATCGCAGTATAATACGTCAATACTTCGAGTTTATATAGAGGAATATTTAGCAAATAAAGGAGGCACAAAAAATGGAAAAGCTAACTGATGCAAATAAATAAGTATGGTAGTGAATTAATGATGACATATGACTAATCGCGTCCTCTCTTAGGTGTCTTGTTTCCGCGAGAGACATCCGCAGCAGACATTTTGGGAGCGCCTTCAACTTCAGTCACACATAAGTCATTTATGCATTTTATGGATACTGGTCCTGCTCCTATAAACGTGACAAATGAGAAAACAAAATTTCAAGTACCTGCTTTTCACAATCCTTAAAGGATAAAATACATAACTATTTCAAAGACGACAGTTACTCAAAACATGATCAGTATTCAGTAGTAGTTAAATTTTTGTTCATAAGTACATACCACTGGTATCCACTGTTCCTATGACCTTCACACGAACACCTTTTTCAAAATTCAATCCTTGGTAATTTGAAATGTTTATGGTAACTTTGTACTGGCCATCAGTTATGCAGCCATCGCCCCCAACTTCAGTATTGAATTTAGCCTCAGGCTTGTAGAACTTAATCTTGATGTGTCCTTCAACACCTATAAAAAAAGATTAAACTTATAAAAAAATGGACTTACGAATAAAAAAATTACTCTTACGCTGTTAATCTACATAATTATATACATTTGAATAAGCTGAGTGGGAGATTAAAAATATCTAACAGAGGTTAATTTTTCAATGAAATTGAACAAATATTAAACAATTACAAATACTAGAATTAAATTTTTCAAAAAACTATGAAAAAATATATCTTACCTATGATTCCCTGAGATTTTCCAGTCTCTGCCAATTGTACAGTTGTAAATTCAGTTGGGACAATTAAGTCAGGGGTAGGGGCAGTATGTTTTCCTAGTACAGTTACAATAGTATCGTCCTTTATCAATAACTCCATCCCAATCAAGTTATTTTTCATCTGTTCTTGCGCCACAGACTTACTTGTGGCAGATTCAATGTGTACAATCTACAATGAAAATATTAATTCATAGACATTTATAGTAATAGAATGGATAATCAATGTATTTTGAATGAGGAAGTAACAAAATGTATGTATCGTATACTCACATTATCAATAGCAATGGAGTCGACATGTTTTTTAATTATTGGTGTTCCCCAGACTAAGTATGTCACTCTACTCTGGCTGTTATTGTTCAACACAAATTTGAAGAGATCATATTTCTTCAATCGACCAACCACTGTTGGTGCATGTACCTCATCTACGTAACCAATCACTTCGCTGTTAAAAAAGAATTTAAAGTGAGAATTTAAACAGTTAGCTTTGCGCTGCATACTTTTACAAATGCAACAGCAAAGTATTAATGCAAAAAATAGAAACTATATTTGTAATACTGCTTACACATGTTTATCCTTATCCCGGATATCAGAAAAATCATCATCAGTTGTGTAAGGTAAAATTTCCGGTTCATCAACTGCTTGAGCTCCATTGTTGTTAGCTGCCAAATGTCCATTCTGCGGATTGACATTTGCAGCCGATGCAGCACCATCTCCCCTCACCTGATTCTGATCTTTCTCTACCTCATTTGGATCAACTGGATTATGTTCGGCCATCCTTATCTATTCAAATAAGTCCACAAAGAATTACACTTTACTCCGTTAAAGTAATAATATCAGTTGTTGTCAATTACTTCTGTTAAATCTCTATCAATTCTCTCATCATTATTTTGAATCGAATTCTAGATTTTGAAATATGAAATGAAAACTATAGAACTGTAAATAAATAGAACAGATTTTTGATAGAGTAACATTCAACATTAATTTTTTTTACACATTAATTACAGAACATCAAAAAACTAAGACAATTAAACCACATGTTTCAAGCTAACCTCACCAACTCATTTTTTATAGATTTCTAATTCTAATAATAGTGTACTTCAAAAATACGCAACCATAAATAATAATTATTATCTGATAAACTTACCGTCAATTTCTGTAGTTATCGTTTAAACAATATATGAAAGACGATGTTAATCGATAAAGAACACTCTCAAAAAGCAGCGATTGATGAATCAGCACGACGTGTACATGCATGCAGGACAACTAATTTGAGAACTATACCCAATTAGCACCTTTAAGGCCGTATACTCATACACAATGTATCGCGACATCAGCGACACATATATGTACGAATACTCATACACAATGTATCGCGACATCAGCGACACATACATGCACGCAGTGATATAATTTATTTTCAATCGACATTATTACATCATTATTTTATTTTATTATTATTATTAGTTAATCGACATTATTTAAAACTTTCGATGTGTATATACTCTTGAACTTAACATACTCTCTCTCTCTCTCACTCACTCTTCTATACTCTCCCCACCACGTGACTCCTTCTCAGCCAATCACATCACGAATAAAACGCGACACTTTTTGGCCATCTCATTTCTTAAGAAGGATTATTATTATTAGTTAATCGATATTATTTAAAACTTTCGATGTGTATATACTCCTGAACTTAATATACTCTCTCTCTCTCACTCACTCTTCTATACTCTCCCCACCACGTGACTCCTTCTCAGCCAATCACATCACGAATAAAACGCGACACTTTTTGGCCATCTCATTTCTTAAGAAGGATTAATTTCTCAAAATTATAAGTGAATACCCCTGCCAGGAATTTCCTTAAGCATTTATGTCTATTTCCTCTATATTATATTTCATTTTCAAGAAAATCCCTTGTTTTTCATTTTACTGAATAACATTCTTAAATACGATAAATCGCTTTACGTGCTTGTATAAAGTTGATTTCAAGGTTTCTTCTATTTTACTGTAGTTGATTGTATCTTACTTTTTCTAACAGTAATGTTTAATTCAATTAATAAGTATATTTCACTACAGTTCTTAACGTTATTTAAGGTATTTTAATTCTTCGTAAAAATTTCATCTCAATCCACGTTTGCATTAATATTTCACGTTCAAAAGTAAATAAAAGATAACTTGTCTTCTTAAAACGTTTAGTATTTTTTTATAGTGTATATAGTATATTATGTAATTAAAAGTTTAAAGAATAAATATCACAATCATATTAAGCTAGTCAATAACTCGAAAGCAGATCATGCCCCTTTGTGAATATATATAAAGTATATATTAGCTGTCTCATATGACACGTGCAACAGTTCTTCGCTGCAATTTTGTTGTATGAAAGCTGATCACGCGTACGCTCAAGTAATAAACAGCGTAGCATATTACGTTCCTTTCTCTTTGAGGGGTGCATAAAATTTTTAATTTAAAATTAGACACAACTATAGTTTCGGTCTCGCTCAAATTGCTACCTACTTTCATTTTATCCTCTTCATTAACGTTTTTTTTATTTTCTAGTAATTTTCAACTTATATTTATATACACGGAGAATGTGTATTTTTATCTTAGTGAAATTATATTCTTTCTTTGAATATTGATTTTGTTTCTATATTGATAAATTTTTCAAAAATGATAAGAACTTTTTTTTGTAAAATATTTTAAAAAGAAAGTGGTGTATATGACTTCTTTGTGATTGTATCTTTCAATACAATATTTTGTAAAAGACAATTGTATTTTTGGATCATTTGAAGAATGTATTATTTTAGATTTCTTGAATAAGAATAGTTGTTCGTTTCATTTATGCAACATTATGAACACTCTCATTTTACAAATGATAAGCATATCAAAAAATTTCTTTCCCTTTTAAATATTTACAGAAATATTTAAATATTAGACCTGAGTTTGGTCTATTTATCTAATAAAAAGGTAAAAGAAGCTTAATACTATTAATATAAATATAATATTGAAAATAATATTGAAACTTATTTAAGAGATATGATATATTCCATACCATCTAATTTTTAGTTCTTGTTTCATAATTTATTTGTTACGACATACTTTTTTAATAAGTTTATTTATTTCATCGAACATTACTGTTAAAAAAAAGTAAAAAATAATCATCTAGTGTAGAATAGAATAAATCAGTTCTTTGAGTAACCTCTTAAATATTTTAATAACAATAACTAAATTACTATTTTATACGCCATTTCATTCACTTGAAGAATTTGAATACTATCTACTTTTATGTTGCTATTTAACTTTCTATATTTTGTACTCACTTTATTATTATGATAACATAAGGATTCTAGTGTATGATTTCGATATAGTCACAGTGGGTAATTTTCATGTGTAAATTAATTTTTACTAATTATTTTTTTAACTACTTATTTTAGATTTTCCCATACATGAATTCCGCAATTTATAATTCCATTAACATATACGTAGTATATTTGTAAAAGTATTTTTGTGCTAGTGATTTGTGTTAATTTATAAGAATAAATACTAAATATTAATTCTTGTTAATAATTTAGTTAATGTGACTAAATCATTCAAAATTCTAGTAAAATATACTTCATGATACTTTACAATCTATATTTTTAATGCATTTATTATGAATTTGATCTCATAACATTTATAGGTACACTTATTTTACCTAAATGCTACAGACTATTTTATTAGTGCTTATAATAATTATCGAAGTCTTTCATTCAACTTATAGCAATATCCTAACATCCTGAATTTCATCCATTGAAATTACAGAAGTTATCTGCGTATACTAACCTACAATCATTTAATATATTTTCATTCAAATCATTAAGATACAATGTAATCATAAGAGAGCCAGCTGCAGTTTTTTAGTTTTTTTATGGAAAATTTTGGATTGCCGTAATAATTCTCACTCTTATCCTTTTAGTCTTGTAATTAACATTATAATTTAATTTTTAATTTAATATACTACCCAAAGGTTTTCGGCATCGCTGATCATGAATGTGAAATCAAATTTTTCAAATTTAAAGTGGCAAATCCAATTAGGTGAGATAAAAAAGTAACTGTGAGTTATATTTTAATTATTGATATTAAAATATGTTGTAGCTGATAGTACATATATAGCTAGAAAAATAATCAGCCGGCCAATTAATTATCACTGATAAATTCGCCAGCCGGGGAAATAAATCCTTTACACCACCGCAGATGTTCGCGTGTTTAATGAATCTCTCATATTCACTTACAACTTTTCTATTCATGAACTATCGACTAACAATATTTTTTTGTATTCACATAAAGTAATATTTGGAATAGTTCTTAATTTATAAAAATATTTTCTGGTAAAATACAACCAAATGATTGACTAAAAATGTCGAACACGACGAAAATAATCGCTCGTGGTTTTACCTATACGTTTCACTCAACAGACTGACTTGTTCCCTCAGAAACGGTCAGTTAATTACACCGTATGACAAAAAAATTTTTTGGTTTTTGTATGGGTAACCGTTATGTTAGTTCTATTACCAAACTGACTGGAACATACCCCCCATTTGTTTTCCAAAATGTTTTTGTGGTCAGCGTACCCATAAATTGACGCATCTTTGAAGCTATTGATGATTTGCCAATTTCGGGCTTTTTTAAGGACCTGGAATAGATCGTAGGCTTCAGATGTTAATTGTTTACTGCAAAAAGGGTTGCTAGGCAGTAATCTGAAACAGAAGAGGTGTATATAGTTAAATTTTTTTTTTTTTTTTGAAAATATAAGCTTTTTGAGGTATTTTTAATGACAAAAATCTCGTTTTTTGAACTTTTTCAACGATTAAAAAAAATCATTTTAACGGCTTCAATGAACCGGCTAGTCTAATGGGTTTCTAAGGTGTAAGTGTTACGTCCCAAGCAAGCCAAACATCAGACACTGATATGTTGTCGAAGTAGCAGTTTGCGAGTGACTTTTAGTCTTTCTCACGCAAACGGTTAACTGCGCGGTTCCTCGCTTTCAGCAGCTTCGGTACGAATCGACCTTCAGATGGAATGTGCATGTAAGCCGATGCCGTTTCCCGCGGAAAATGGAAGTCACGTATAGCTTTCCGTTTAATATGCGCTTTTGACAAAAGCACGTCGCGAAAGCGGGAGAGACAGTTCTCTTCTTTCACGCTTTCGCAAAAATTGCTGAATAGAATTAGCAACGACTCGCGAAGCTAATTAAGCAATTAGCCCATTGACCGGTGACATTAGTTAATACGCCAGTGTGCGGATCATCGGGAGCTTTTTCCTCGATTGCAGGAGGACTCGCGACATTCGGCAACCGGCAGTGAAACGGTAACAAGGTGCGTAAAATGTCGAAGTAAAAAGGTGTCGATATATCTTAAAATCAGTAAAGCTCACCTTAAACCGAAACATTTTTCTTCTTGTAAACGTCGAAGTAAAGGTGTAAATCTAATAATGGTGTCGATATCTCTTAAAATTAGTAAGTTCAACTTAAACCGAAACTTCCGATAATCCCTCTCGTCTTGTGAAGTGTGACTAGCTGTGAGCGGTGCTTTAGGCACATTCCATTTCTTATCAAACGTCGGACTGCAGATCGACAAATCGCAAAGAAAACAACAATCCAAAAGGTAGCTAAGGATACCCGCTACGACAGGTTCTCCTTTTATTTCTTTTTCTTTCGATAATTTTGCCAAGCTTCGCTTACTCTAGACTAATTTTTCAAGTAAATTTAATTAAATAGTTGTAAATTCCGGACGTAACAGTAAACATGGACGTTAGCCAAAATTTATATAAAAATTTTGTTAGGAATGAAACCTATGTCGAATGGAGGTTTCTTTGTTTAGAAAGATACCAATGTTGAATAAAAGAATAGTGGGAAAAACTACTAGAAAATTCAAAACCCCAAGGCTCTGCAAACCTTAAGCGGGCTCTAGCGCGGAAGCTTAATATATCAGTAATAGTTATTTCGATAGATTAGATTGCCCTGAACTTAATGAGGTTCTCATTTACCCCGCAAGCCGTGGAAAACGTTGAGATATTTCATTTCAAAGCTTACACTTTTAGTATGTCTTCATATGAAATTTACCGCGAAAAAGCTTTGATTCGTTACTAACCTTAAATGCGTAGTTATGAAATAAGAAAGTAATGTTCTTATAGATTAAGACTACAGCTTTCATATCGTATGTTTAGAAGTATAGGTAGCCGTGGAAAATATCAAGATATTTGTGAAAATTGTTGAAAAAAATTATTAGGCTCTCGGATATCCGGCGATTGAACAGCACCCATGCTTG